CTATATAATATGATAGACCAGATCTAGATCACCTCTCTATGTAATATGATAGACCAGATCTAGATCTCCTCTCTATATAATATCATGTGACCAGATCTAGATCACATCTCTATATAATATCATAGACCAGATCTAGATCACCTCTCTATATAATATCATGGGACCAGATCTAGATCACCTTTCTATATAATATCATAGACCAGATCTAGATCACCTCTCTATATAATATCATGGGACCAGATCTAGATCACCTCTTTATATAATATCATGTGACAAGATCTAGATCTCCTCTCTATATAATATCATGTGACCAGATCTAGATCACCTCTCTATATAATATGATAGACCAGATCTAGATCACCGTTCTATATAATATCATTTGACCAGATCTAGATCACCTCTCTATATAATATCATGGGACCAGATCTAGATCACCTCTTTATATAATATCATAGACCAGATCTAGATCACCTTTCTATATAATATCATGGGACCAGATCTAGATCACCTCTCTATATTATATGATAGACCAGATCTAGATCACATCTCTATATAATATCATTTGACCAGATCTAGATCACCTCTCTATATAATATCATATTGATGATATGTAATTAAATAAGGTAGCCACCAGCTGACCCTGGTTGTAGCCATATTTCTCAAATCCAATTCTTTCATATTTTAATTGCCTCCTTGTTTGTCAATAATGCTATCAATGTCATATTGGAAAATTTACTAAGTTAGTAAGACTAGGATTTTCTGCAGTAGTTCATATATGTTAAACTTTCCTAGACTTCTGATATAGAACCTACATATATCAGATCAACAGTAATCTTTTTGTAAATGTATAATGATAGGCTAGTAGCTTTCTAAGGCGTTTCTCTCCTTGTCTTAAAGCACTTTGTTGTAGTTTCTGATGATGTCCCTGATAACACTAACATCACCCATTGTAACTACGGAAATGTGTGTATATAGGCCTGACACAGAATCACTTGTCTCAGACAAATTCTTACCATCCACTCACTGTAATCACTGTTTTACTACTGCCTGGCTCCAAATTTGCAAAACATGCCCAGTTTATAGTCTTATATGGAGCTCTACCAAGTTTGTTCAAATGAATGACCTTGACCCACTTTAAAGGTCACAGGGGTCAAATATGTTAAAATCTTTAAACAACTTCTTCTCATTAACCAAAAGGCTCAGAGTGTAGATATTGGGCCTGTGACATGCTGGGATGAAGGACTACCAAGTTTGTTCAAATGAATGACCTTGAACCACTTTAAAGGTCACAGGGGTCAAATATGTTAAAATCTTTAAACAACTTCTTCTCAATAACCAAAAGGCTCAGATTGCTGATATTGTGCCTGTGGCATGCTGGGATGAAGGGCTATCAAGTTTGTTTAAATGAATGACCTTGAACAACTTTCAAGGTCACAGGGGTCAAATATGTCAAAATCTTTAAATAACTTCTTCTCAAATACTAGAAGGCCTAGGGGGCTAATACTTGGCCCATAGCATGCTGGCATGGAGCCCTACAAAGTTTGTTCAAATGAATGACCTTGAACCACTTTAAAGGTCACAGGGGTCAAATATGTTAAAATCTTTAAACAACTTCTTCTCAATAACCAAAAGGCTCAGATTGCTGATATTGTGCCTGTGGCATGCTGGGATGAAGGGCTATCAAGTTTGTTTAAATGAATGACCTTGAACAACTTTCAAGGTCACAGGGGTCAAATATATCAAAATCTTTAAATAACTTCTTCTCAAATACTAGAAGGCCTAGGGGGCTAATACTTAGCCCATAGCATGCTGGCATGGAGCCCTACAAAGTTTGTTCAAATGAATGACCTTGGCCCACTTTCAAGGTCACAGGGGTCAAATATGTTAAAATATACAAAGGACTTCATCTCAATAAGCAAAAGTCTATGAGTGCCGATATTGGGTCTGTAGCATGCTGGGAGGAAAGGCTACCAAGTTTATTTAAATGAATGACCTTGAACAACTTTCAAGGTCGCAGGGGTCAAATATGTCAAAATCTTTAAATAACTTCTTCTCAAATACTAGAAGGCCTAGGGGGCTAATACTTGGCCCATAGCATGCTGGCATGGAGCCCTACAAAGTTTGTTCAAATGAATGACCTTGGCCCACTTTCAAGGTCACAGGGGTCAAATATGTTAAAATATACAAAGGACTTCATCTCAATAAGCAAAAGTCTATGAGTGCCGATATTGGGTCTGTAGCATGCTGGGAGGAAAGGCTACCAAGTTTATTCAAATGAATAACCTCAACCCACTTTCAAGGTCACAGGGGTCAAATATGTTAAAATCTTTAAACAACTTCTTCTCATTAACCAAAAGGCTCAGAGTGTAGATATTGGGCCTGTGACATGCTGGGATGAAGGACTACCAAGTTTGTTCAAATGAATGACCTTGAACCACTTTAAAGGTCACAGGGGTCAAATATGTTAAAATCTTTAAACAACTTCTTCTCAATAACCAAAAGGCTCAGATTGATGATATTGTGCCTGTGGCATGCTGGGATGAAGGGCTATCAAGTTTGTTTAAATGAATGACCTTGAACAACTTTCAAGGTCACAGGGGTCAAATATGTCAAAATCTTTAAATAACTTCTTCTCAAATACTAGAAGGCCTAGGGGGCTAATACTTGGCCCATAGCATGCTGGCATGGAGCCCTACAAAGTTTGTTCAAATGAATGACCTTGGCCCACTTTCAAGGTCACAGGGGTCAAATATGTTAAAATATACAAAGGACTTCATCTCAATAAGCAAAAGTCTATGAGTGCCGATATTGGGTCTGTAGCATGCTGGGAGGAAAGGCTACCAAGTTTATTTAAATGAATGACCTTGAACAACTTTCAAGGTCGCATGGGTCAAATATGTCAAAATCTTTAAATAACTTCTTCTCAAATACTAGAAGGCCTAGGGGGCTAATACTTGGCCCATAGCATGCTGGCATGGAGCCCTACAAAGTTTGTTCCAATGAATGACCTTTGCCCACTTTCAAGGTCACAGGGGTCAAATATGTTAAAATATACAAAGGACTTCATCTTAATAAGCAAAAGTCTATGAGTGCCGATATTGGGTCTGTAGCATGCTGGGAGGAAAGGCTACCAAGTTTATTCAAATGAATAACCTCAACCCACTTTCAAGGTCGCAGGGGTCAAATATGTTAAAATATACAAAGGACTTCATCTCAATAAGCAAAAGTCTATGAGTGTTGATATTGGGTCTGTAGCATGCTGGGAGGAAAGGTTACCAAGTTTATTTAAATGAATGACCTTGAACAACTTTCAAGGTCGCAGGGGTCAAATATGTCAAAATCTTTAAATAACTTCTTCTCAAATACTAGAAGGCCTAGGGGGCTAATACTTGGCCCATAGCATGCTGGCATGGAGCCCTACAAAGTTTGTTCAAATGAATGACCTTGGCCCACTTTCAAGGTCACAGGGGTCAAATATGTTAAAATATACAAAGGACTTCATCTCAATAAGCAAAAGTCTATGAGTGCCGATATTGGGTCTGTAGCATGCTGGGAGGAAAGGCTACCAAGTTTATTCAAATGAATGACCTTAACCCACTTTCAAGGTCACAGGGGTCAAATATGTTAAAATATACAAACGACTTCTTCTCAACAAGCAAAAGTCCATGAGTGCTGATATTGGGCCTGTAAGATGCTTGGAGGAGAGGCTACCAAGTTTGTTCAAATGAATGACCTCAACCCACTTTCTAGGTTTGGCTTGCTTTTTGTCAGATGACCGTTAAGGCCCATGGGCCTCTTGTTACGTCTACAGAGACTTCACTGCTTTTACAATGTGGTTGTTTGGTACATATGTATTGATGGATATAAGTATGGGATTTGTTTGTTTGGTTCCAGTGGATATATGTATTAATTTGTTACTGGATGCTAGTTGTATTGAGGAACCTGATGTTTGGGTTATAATGGAGTTACATACGTGTATAGAACATGTTTCCAGATGGAAACATTAGTTTCACTCAATGGCTTTTAATTTGTCATTACAACTTATGTCCACTCTCACAATGTTCAATTTGTTATGAAAGTTAGTTCATCAATCAACACAGTACCAGTAACAGCAGTCACTTGATGTCTTCCTGTCCAGATTTAAAGTCTCCATGTGAAAATTAACTGGAACAATTCAACAATTTTTTTACTTCTAAAGCAGATATTGTTCAAAGTGGTTAGAGTTATGTCCCATTTGTCTTTTGTCATTTTGAATTGTTTTATTTTGCAATGTGATACATCTAGTTTTTAACATTTGATTTCAATAGTCACAAAAAAGGTTAGAAATAGTGATGATGTGATCACCTGTCACTCCTCCAAGCTATTTGCACTATATCTGTTTCTCAGTTATTTTACATAGGACAAGCCATTCTTACTGAAATCCAGCAGAATTCCTGTGTGTACCTGCTGTATTTTGTTTTAGGTTATAATCTGAGGGACTTGAATTATAAATGTATGGCCATTTGGCCATTTGGCCATTTTACTATACAAGCTAGGGCTAGGGTCAGCCATGTGTATTCATTACTGATCATAATAGCAAGTCACACTTTAATGTCAAACTTAATGCACCTATTATCAGCGAACTTGTGCAAGTCTAGCTGTGTGTAAGTTAAACTTCCTTATAAAGTTGTCTGCTAGGCTTAGTGACAACATTAACATGTACTATATTATCACAATGCAGAGTACTGCTTATTTAATTATAACTAATTGCTTAAACGGAATTTGTTGTTAATTGTTGATTACACTTTGTAACTTGTGTAAGTCTAATGATGTACATATGTGCTGTAACCTGACTGGGTGTGTACTGTGTGTATATAACCCTCACTGTGTACTGTGTGTGCACCCCTCACTGACTAGGAGCCTGGGGAGATAGTGAGGATGTTATTTCTGGTGTGTGGTGGCACCTCTGTGGGGAGGCAGTCTGTTTTAGCTACGATCCTCCTCTCTATAGCCAGACTTGTAGTAGGAACATAGATTCTGGCAGAAAAACAACCTGGCACAGAGGTGGCTTAGTTGGTTTCAACATGATTGAGTTTAAGACATAGAGATATGGGCATTTTAGCTATGGAGAGTATTGTGCTTGACTCTGCTAGCAGAGTTCGTAAACGAGGTTCACTTCAGTTACAAGGAAACCATGATTTGACGTTATCTTTATGCACTTCCAACAATTCTCAAAACTCAGCTGGGTCGAGTTCTATGCCCGGGACTCCTGTTGGAATTCATCGTGGATACAGGCGAAGCAACAGTGGTCAGCAGATCAGTGTGATATGTACCCAGAATGATCAGGAACTAATGTGTAACCGCTCCAGAACTCGAGCCTCCACCCCTGGACCAATATCAATGACCCACAGCCGGAGCCAACATCAGCTCCAGAGCTCCTCTGGCCCAGGGGGTCAGGATATGGTGTACATGACCCAGGGTGGGGCAGTGGTATCTCAAGGTGGGGCAGCACAGCGCCATAGTTTTGGTGGGAGTGGTCAGTGGATGTACATGCCTCGTGGATTACAATATTACAATGGTCATCATCCCAGTGGTCGACACAGTGTCCACAGCCATAGAACTTCATGTAGGTATACTTTGTATTCCAGGTAGATATTCAACTCGTCATGGATTCCATATATAAGCATACAGCCAGTGGTATATAAACTGTACTTTAACATACGTAATATATTTCTGAAGATGTATTAGGTGTAAGCGTTATGATATAAACAGTATCTTTGAAAGTATTATGATCCATGTTAAGTTGGTACATAGTATTTATCAGAGTGTTACAATCCCTATAACATAGCCTTATAGTACTAAGAATGATATCTGTTTAAAGTGTTATAAACAATGTATAAAGCTGGTAGCTATATAGTATAAGTTAATGTACAACACATATCTGTCCATGATTATACAGTAGAATGTGTTTCAGGTGTAAAGACTCTCATGGACTACATATAGTATGTGCATGTCATGCAGTGAGTGGTACTTTAATTGTCAATTGGTTTTGATTTGTTTGTCCTAACCAGGAAGGGTTTTTTTATGATTATTAGGTGTTACCCCTTGATCAAGGAGGAGTGTTCAGTCATATGAGGTTACCTCTTGACCAGGGAAGGGTGTAAACTGTCAATATAGGTTATTTCTTGACCAGGGAAGGATTTATGGTCAATTGAGGTGACCTCTTGACCAGGGAAGGATTGTTCAGTCATAAGAGTTTACCTCTTGACCAGGGAAGGATGTATACAGTCAATAGAGGTGACCCCTTAACTAGGGAGGAGTGTATGGCGTAGGAGGTCAACTCTTGACCATGGAGGGTCAACAGAGGTTACCTCTTGACAATGAGGGTTGTATGATCATTAGACCTTACCTCTTGCTAAAAGAGGAGTGCATGGTCATTTATATAGACGTTGCCTTCTGACAAGGAAGTGATGCACATTTATGGTCATTAGAGGTTACCTCTTGACCAGGGAGGATCGCAGTCACCAGGGAGGAGTGTTTAGTCATTAGAGGTGACCTCTTGACCAAGGAAGGATGCACGGTCATTCAGGATTACCTCCTGACCATAGAGGAGTGTTAAGTCAATAGAGGTTACCTCCTGACCAGAGAGGGTTGTTTGATCATTAGAGCTTACCTCCTGCTAAAGGTGGATTGTATTGTCATTTATATAGATGTTACCTCTTGACCAGAGAGGAGGTAGTGTATGGTTATTAGAGGTAGATTCTGGATGACCAGCACTTGTTGATACTAGTAATGCTGATTGTTATTTTGTGGCAATCTTTCCTACTTCAGTACGACTGCTTGGACAGAATCCAGAATTATATTGATATCTATATACACCTAATGTACAGATGTTGAAGTATATACCAGACCTCATGTTGGTAAACATCCGCTTGATGGGTGTTATTCCTGGTTATCTGAATTGACTGAAATGTGACTAAATAAATGAGTTAATTAAAGTTGGATGCTGTCCCTCATATAACATATGACTTATGTTATATCTCCCCTACCATGTTTCTCTGATATTGAGTTTACTTGATTGTCGATAGTTCTGTGTTCATTTATCAAAGGCTCTCTAGCTTGATTCTAATATATACCATTTATCAAAACATTTCATTGATTGTTTTCTCCGTTTGTTTTCTTGGTTATAGTCCTTTTAGGAAAGATACATGAACCATAAGATACTGTGATCAAATTATGGGATTATTTTGGGGGCAATTTAAATTTATTATAAAGTGGACCAACTTCAATTCCGAACAAAAATCTTCAGTCCTATGTCAACATTAGAAGTTGTATGTAGATCAGTTTAAAGCAGGGAGATCAACTCAACTCTACCACCTCCAAATGAAATGGGACATACAGTTTTGGCCTTGTCTGTCCTGTTGTGTTGTGTCCCAATCCCATGTGAGCACCTGGTAATTTCATTCTTTGACAGATTTTGGTAAAACTTTACACAATTGTTAGGTCACCTTTACTGTATATAGAAAATCACCAGTGGATTTAGTTTAAACCATTAGTAACTTCATTCTTTTGTGGAATTTGATCAAACTTTATACAAAGTACAAGTACAGGTATACTGTGGACATGGTTGCGGTGGCATTGATGCATGTCTCACAGACATTTTCTATTTTTTTCTTTTATTTTTTTTAAGAAATGAGGAGAGCTTCAAAAATGTTATAATTTATTTAAAATTCTCTACATACCAGCAATGTATGTGTTTTTAGCCTTTTTATCGTCATGAAAGAGTGTTCAGACTATTTTGCTCAGTGTCTTAAAATGTTTTCGACCTACCACAACCAACTTCTTGTATTATTTTCTGATTCACTTCTGATTTTGTACACACTTGATGCATAACATTGATTTCACAATTAATAAAACAGATTGTAATATTCTTCCAACAGACATGTTCTGTTTTTATGTCTTTTGGGACTTTTAGATAGACCGATGAAAAAGACAAAGAATTCTGCAGAATTCTTGTTATTTAGTCAAATACAAGAGGAATGTAATATATTCCCATCTGAGAATGTTGGCTATATTTAGCTGTAATTACCATTAGTGAGCTAACTCTGATAACTTTGTACATTTGTAGATAGACTTAATTAGTACAGTATCAGACATTTCTCTCATTAGCTCCGTGCAGTATTCCGGTGAAGTGAAAAAAATCACCTTTGAATTAATGTTTGGATTGGCTGTTGGCATTGTTCCCTCAGTGGGCGTAAGTAATATTTTTTCATGTTGTCCGGGAATCTAGCGATTCTTTGATAGAGGCAATCTATGTATATTTATCAGGCATTCCCAATGCTGGATTGAACCTTAGACCCCAGTCCGAGATAGATAGTCTTTGAAAAGTTGAAGAAATATTTCAGAATTGCTGAAAATACCTGCAGTTGATGTGAACCGAGAAATTCCTGTATTATAAAATAGAATTAGGCCTTGGCAGAGGTTATCTTTTCAATGCTATGCATATAGCTGCTTTGCTGTTTTGTAATAAGCCCACCTCCCATCTGTAAGAATTTAGTCAAGAAATGCACTAATGTTCTGGGTTTATTGTAGGATAAATACAGCTTCTTCATTTTACCCTTATCAGAGTCTTTGCAAAGAAATTGTTTAACACAACAAAACAATGGTGTGGCCTAAATCAAAGCACTATGGCACGTTGGGATGGATATTACTTCCATTACTGTTTCTGACATAACACTTTTACTTGAAATAATCTTGATACCAAAGATTTGCCGACGAGACAAGGATGCCGTTGCAAGCATGTCTGTATTACAGGTTCTACCTTGTAACAGTGTGATCCCAAGCACTTACACCAATGCTGCAGGTCGAAAAGATGCTAAAACTAAAGAATGCTTATATATTTAGGTGACATTTTTATTGATAAGACAAAGAAAGTTTTGGCAATCCTGGCTAAACAGACATTTCTGTCGGTTTTTATCACATCATCATGCTCACATCCAATGTAACACATTGCCAGAATATGGGTTAGAACTGACTCTCAAAAGGGTAGAACACATGACTTATGTAGATCCTGTGATAAAAGAATGTGATATAATTTCCTTTGATGGTCTGTAATTATAGATAGTAATTGTCACTCTTATTCATTATCTTTGCTCACATTCATTATTCAGTTGTGAATGTAGGTAAGTTATAGTATGTAATGTGATATCTGGCAGCATACACACAGTCGACAGAAGGACTTTTCATCAGATATATCAGATATTGTACTTTTTACCTCTACAGTGGCTGTAATGATCTAGTGTTCAGTGGCTGTAACAATGTCCTCTACAGTGGCTGTAATGACATCCTCTACAGTGGCTGTAATGATCTAGTGTTCAGTGGCTGTAACAATGTCCTCTACAGTGGCTGTAACAATGTCCTCTACAGTGGCTGTAATGATCTAGTGTTCAGTTGCTGTAACAATGTTGTCTACAGTGGCTGTAATGACATCCTCTACAGTGGCTGTAATGATCTAGTGTTCAGTGGCTGTAACAATGTCCTCTACAGTGGCTGTAATGATCTAGTGTTCAGTGGCTGTAACAATGTCCTCTAAAGTGGCTGTAATTGTCTACTATTCAGTGCCTGTAGCAATGTCCTCTACAGTGGCTGTAATGGTCTACTGTTCAGTGGCTGTAACAATGTTGTCTACAGTGGCTGTAACAATGTTGTCTACAGTGGCTGTAACAATGTCCTCTACAGTGGCTGTAATGATCTAGTGTTCAGTGACTGTAACAATGTCCTCTACAGAGGCTGTAATGATCTAGTGTTCAGTGGCTGTAACAATGTCCTCTACAGTGGCTGTAATTGTCTACTATTCAGTGGCTGTAGCAATGTCCTCTACACTGGCTGTAACAATGTCCTCTACAGTGACTGTAATGATCTAGTGTTCAGTGGCTGTAACAATGTCCTCTACAGTGGCTGTAATTGTCTACTATTCAGTGGCTGTAGCAATGTCCTCTACACTGGCTGTAACAATGTCCTCTATAGTGGCTGTAATTGTCTACTATTCAGTGGCTGTAGCAGTGTCCTTTACAGTGGCTGTAGCAATGTCCTCTACACTGGCTGTAACAATGTCCTCTACAGTGGCTGTAATTGTCTACTATTCAGTGGCTGTAGCAATGTCCTTTACAGTGGCTGTAACAATGTCCTCTACAGTGGCTGTAACAATGTCCTCTACAGTGGCTGTAACAATGTCCTCTACAGTGGCTGTAATGGTCTACTGTTCAGTGGCTATAGCAATGTCCGCTACAGTGGCTGTAACAATGTCCTCTACAATGGCACTAACAATGTCCTCTACAGTGGCTGTAACAATGTCCTCTACAGTGGCTGTAATGGTCTACTGTTCAGTGGCTGTAACAATGTCCTCTACAGTGGCTGTAATGACATCTTCTACAGGGGCTGTAATGACATTATTTGCAGTGGCTGTAATGACATCCTCTACAGTGACTGACATGGCATCCTCTACAGTGACTGTAATGACATCCTCTATAGTGACTGTAATGCCATCCTCTACAGTAGCTGAAATGACATTCTCTACAATGGCTGTAATGACATCCTCAATAGTGACTGTAATGACATTCTCTACAA